AACAACTCTAAACAAAAATAACTCAGTTTAAAAAATCGTCTAAAGAATTGTGTTCCGTATTGTGTATATATAGTAGGTAATAAAATTATTCAACAAGCCAAAAGAAATATAAGAAAATAAAAGCTATTATCAAGTTTCCAAAGTCAGCATCTAGAACGAGTGAATACAATTTTCTTTAGACTATATAGAAAGATAGAACAAATAATTTTCTACAAAATGAGATATCTCCGAGTTCTGTACAACGTTATTTTGCCGAAATACATCAATCTTACGGAAGCTCTTGAAGTCGTTTTTTTTAATTTTCTATAGAAAAAACATTTTTTGACCTTCAATCAAATTGTTGGATTCTTTCTAAAGTTTACGAGAACAGAAAAGAATTGAAAATAACCCTTGTCGAATAATTTTGGTACTTGTTGTATGTACAATTTTCCTAAATTATTGAGTTCGCTTGTTATTGAATAGATACTCATGACACAAAATTGAAGTTTTAACAATATCGAACTTTTTTCTTGTTTTTATTTTTTTGTTGTATGTGTTTGAAAAATCACAGACAAAACAAGAAGAAGATACACAAAAAGAGAGAGAGAAAAGACACGCAAGAAAAAATGACAAATACATACAGATATCATAAGTTGTTATTGTTGTGTTTTTTTTTGTGTTTTGTTTTCATATTATAAAAGAGATAAGTTTACTTCTAAGTACATCTTCTCGTTTAACTTAAATGGACTTGATATTTGTACATAACAGAAACGCACTTCATTTCATCTATTATCTTTTTTTCTTTTTGTCTTAGTGAAAGAAGAAAACAAGAAATATGTAAGAATAACATATTTATACACTGAGATCAAAAGAAAACCATCGGACAGACAAGCAAAAAAAAGGGGGAAAAAGCAAATCATTTGCTTAGACCATGTCGTTTAGCTTCAATTTCATAGACAAGTAATCGCCACATTTTAACAACAAATACTTCAGCTTCATCATCAAGTACAACACGTATATCAGATAGGATTGTTTCAGCACTTTTTTTTGACATTATTGATGTACAAATAAAATCTGTTAATGTTACTTCTTCTTCACCAATATATTCAACAATTTTTTTCGTTACCCATGGTTTAATACGTTTTTCCATTAGATTCTTTAATTTATAAAAAGAAAAAAAAATTAGATTTATAAAGAAAAAAAAAATACATACGGAATCAAGAAGTGACCAATCAAGTGGAAAAGTAAATAAATCTTCTTTTTTTGTTGGAATACTTTCAATTAATTTACGTACAGCTTGACGTTTATCTTCTTGTGATGGAATAGGATTAACATTTGTTGTTGGAGTTAAAGGTGTTGGTTTACTTGATGACATTCGATTGTTTGGTTCATCTTTAATATATGTTGAATTATGAGAAGTTGGAGTAGTTTGTTGATCAAGTATTGCAGATAATTTTGATTTTTTCTGAAAATTATTTGTACTATCATCATCTTGATCTTCACGAAAAACCTTCAAATTTTAAAGAAATATTTCATTGAATTATTCTATCAAAATCAAAACTTACTTCATTAACAGCTAATTTTCGTTTTGATGGTAATTTTGTACCAGTTATTGGTGCACCACCAAGTGCAGATGTTTGACGAGGACTAATTTTGATTTCTAAATAAAACACAAAAAAAAAAAAGTAATAGATAAAACAAAAGTCAATTAAGTATTCTACAAACCATTTTGTGGTAAAAGTATTGCTGGTGGTGATTGATCCATATTTTCAGTATCTAACAAATAAAATCATATTTATATCAACATTTATTTAAGGAGAGTTTTCATGAAATCATCGAGTATACGAGGTATTTGATAAATCAAAATCTCTTTTTTTTGTGCATTCAATACATCGATATCTGACAACACTAATCTCAAAATTTTAACTTCCAATAGTCTTTCTTTTATCCCTATCATATCTTTATAAACAAAAAAATCTCCTGTAAAAGTTGTGCTCGTTTTCGTTCCAGTGAACCATCGGTTTTTAGTTCAGATCCAAAAGAAACTTTTATCAGCCGGGTCCAGAAAGTTTTGAAGCCAATAGACTGTAACCACGTGGCAAATTATTTTTCTGTCGAAAAGTCACACTATATAGGACAGAGGTGAACTGCGTTTCTATCCGAACATGCCATTTTGAAGAGAATAATAAAAATTTGTATGACATATGATAGTGATAAAAAGTCAGTATCGAGTAATTTTTCAAAGGAAGACAATTGGAAGCTAAAATTTTGAAGTTAATGTTTTCAGATATCGATGCATTGAATGCATAAAAAACTTTTTTTTTTATCGAGTATCTTGTATACTCGATGATCTCACAATTCTTTTCTTTAAGATTTGTCTTACTAGTATTAGTTGGTTCAATTGATGGAATAATAATATCTTTTCGATTATTTGTTGATTCATCATCATTATCTGATTCATCAGTAGATTCATCACTTGTTGTTCGTGTAAGATCAGCTAAACGTTTACGTATTAATTCTTCTTCTTTTTCTAAACGTCGTTTTATTTCTAATTCAATATCATCAATATTATCTTGAAGTAATAATTTTTGACGTAATTCTTCAACTTCTTCTTTTTCATGACGTCTATCACGATTATCAGTTTCAATTTCATGTTCACGATCTTTTAAACGACGTGCTAATGATGTACCTCTAGATAGAAAATAGTTTTATTATTTATTAATTTAATATTCATAGAAAAAAAACTTCGTACTTGTAATATTTCGGATCATCATTTTCATCATTATAATCTTCAAGAAATGCTAATAAACGTTTGCCTTCTTTTTCTTCATCATGTAATCGAGTTAATTCACGACGTTTTTCAAGTTCATAATCATTTTGTTTTTTTCGTTCACGTATTTCCCATGCTTTCAATCGCTAGAAGATAAATATCATATTAAATATAATCAAGATAATAGGATTCGAGTTATTGACTATTTCAGATACTTATGTACACATATTCAATAACATAACCTTTTCCCACTCGAGTTTGGACAGATCGTTTTTTTCTAGACTTCGATCCTAAGAACCATTGAAGTACATCAAAACTCGATGTAATAAATCATATCATACTCAAAATTGTATAAAGGTTATTTTTATAAATTTTAAGCATTGATACATGTAAACAAGAAGTCATACCCGCTCAGCTATTTTGTATATGAACTTTAAATATTCAACTCGATGTCTCAAATGAAATACTATTAGTTGATATAATCTGTCTTCAATATCATTATTCAGACAAATAAGTGTAATCGTCAAAGTTGCGGGACTCACTAGTATTCTGTCTCATTCACCTAATCATGTGATTTACACCCGAAATAAACTATTGAAGACGAACAAAAACACAAATATTTCAAGTGTTAAGATAGGAACAACGACAAGATTTGAAACATTCACAAAAACTTATTCTCGTTACGGACTGTCTCTATACAAAATTTTAATTTAAAATTTGAAGATTAAGTTTCTTGAGAGGTACCAGAACATTCATTTTAATAACTACGGTAAAAGTACAATATCTTGACACCAATAAATTCACATAGACTCAACTCAAAAGCGATTAATCAGTTGAAGGACTAGCCTTGTGAGTAATACATAAGAGAGATATCATCAGCTAATAGTATGTCATTTGTCACAATGACATGAATACTTAAAGCTCATATATATATATATATATGTATATAGTTAAATGGATGTGAGTTCTCATTTACATGTATCCAAGGTTTTATCTAGATGTTCTCTTCCAGAAGGATAACTTAAAACTCTTACAGGGTCAACCCGATGTTTGGAGAAGCGTCGCCTTCTCACTGGATGTAAACTAATTTTTATCGAAGATTAGAACTTCTAAACTACCTCTATAGAATTCTAATATATAATACTCTCATTTTAATAATTGATTTGACTTACTTCTCGATAACGAAATTCTTTTTCACGTAATCTCCTTTCTTGTCGTCTTCTTTCATAAGCTTCATCATCATCTTCATCATTAGAATGTGGTTTTGATAATGGTGATTTTGTTCTTGAGCGACGATTATATGAACGTGATAATGGAACAGGTGAACGACGATCATAACGTGGTACAGGTGAACTACGTCGATCACTTGTACGACTACGAACAGAATTACTTGTATTATTTCTTGATGATGAATTACGATAACGATCATCATTAGGTGATAAACGATCACGTCGATTTGAACTATTACGATCATGTTTTGGTGATGAACGATCACGAGATGATGATGATGGTGGTGGTGGTGGTGGTGGTGATGTATTACGTGAAGATGGTGATAATGAAGATTTATTATTTCTATTAGCAGATGCTTCTTCAGCTGCAATTTTTTCACGTTGTAATGCACGTTCACGTTCATAACGATCTTTTCGTTCTTTTTCTGTATTACGCATTTTT